ATGCTTTTTTATCCACCCTTTTATTGCGTTTTGAAACTGGCGAACAATTTATATTGTTCGAGTTCTTGAGTCATGCCAAAACAGCGACATTTTACGCGATAAATACGGGTTTAAATATCAGCATTTGCCACGGAAGGCGAGTGGCAGCTACCGTAAACCTTCTCTTAACTTGTGGCATTTACTTGCCACGGCAAGTTGTGGCATATACTTGCCACGGCAAGTTGTGGCATGGTTGTGGCATATACTTGCCATGGCAAGTTGTGGCCTCTGTGGCATATACTTGCCACAGATACCACATCTGTAGCATATACTTGCCACAGATACCACGGAGTAGCGGCCTCTGTGGCAGATGCCGGAAGTACTTGCCACTGCCTGCAGATGCCACGAAATGAGCCAGGCCCTACTGCGATTTTGGTTACACCTGGGTAACTTGCTTTCTCCACCTACAATTAATCTCACTCTACCAGTTACATTTTAAACCATTTAAAATGTCATTAGGGCACAGAGTGTTTTTACGCTTCCCTTTGCAGTGTGCTAGTGCACGGTACATACTGTGCAACATCACACACGTCCTCCTCCTTATCATACTCACTGAGGGGTGTAGATGTAGGGGGGTTTGTCATAGTTGGTGCTCTCCTCATCCAGGTGACTCCTGGAGCCTCTCAGCTTCTCGGGGTAGTCTGACATTGGGAGCACTCCTGGGCTTCCAGACACATTGTTCACCTAGGTGAGGAAAAAAACATATTAGCAAAATAATATTTAAAAAAAAAGATGTCTAAATGACTATTTTGACAAATCCAATAATCGTTTAAATTATCTTTTAAGCATAAATGTTGTTCTACACAAATGGGTAAGCTTGATGCTTCCTTAATATACTGTATGATATCAAACTGACTATTTGGGGGTTTTGGTCGGACAAAAGAAGACATTAGACTTGAGCTTGGACTAAGAAAATCATCACAAAAAGGCGTGTTTTCCAAGATTTGTTGTTAAAAATATAGCTTTACCCAAATGATCTACACTACAGTGTGCAGTAAACAGTGCTTTCAACCATGATACAATTACGGGCCGTTTCCTTGAACAGAAACACTGGATCTCTGCCAACTCTGGTATGATCCACCTGCATGGACTTGTCCTCTGAAAATGTGAGACATGGGAGTTCCACCCTGCTGCACACCTCCAAAACAACACCTGTATGTTCTGCAGGTCGCCTCAGCACTTTTCACATGAGTTTCCACTAAGTACACTAAAGGTAAATGCCTCTAGCTCCCAGTATCATGTTACCGGTGTTATGTCTCTGACAACTGGTGGGATTTGAGGTTTAAGAGGACCAGTCCGACCTGTTCTTCCTCTTCATTGCTCTGCAGTGAGCTCAGGACTTCACTGCGCTGAATGTCATCATTACAAAAATGACTCACCTACTCATTGGTACACTCGAGTAGTTCAGATGTGACAGCTGTTGCCAAACACTTCTAAAATAACTTCAGAAAGAATGATTCACCGTGAAATGTAAATAATATTTGAAGAAAAAGGCAATAAAAAGTCCAGGTTTTTATTGCTGCGAGTTCTTCCTACCATAGGGACATGCCTGTGTAACATTGAAACACTCATCCAGTGTAAACACCACACCTTGAAAACAGGAGCAGTTCCCCTCCCCCGCTGAGCAACAGGTGACTGCCACTAAACTGGTTTTACTGCTTTGGCTGTTACACTCAACTGCTGCTTCATCAGAAAGACAATTTAAAGACAGGCCTAAAAGATCTGCCATGATAGCTTCTTCTGATTTTAACTTCAAACATTTTTAAGAGCTGGTTGAGTCAATCAATTAACAATTAAATGAACTTGTTCTATAATTACTTAACTTTTTAGGCCTGCAGTTTTTGTAATAGTGGATTTATCTTTTTCATTTCTTTGTCTTAAAAAAACAACAACACTGAATGAGATGGGACTCCTTGTCTTGATTTATCCAAAACAGGTTATCGTCATGGGTGATTGAGAATAACATTGAAACATCAGTTTGATTATTCTATTTAAAAAAAGTGGTCAATAAATTTTCTGTCAAGCGACTAATCAATTAATCGACCAATTGTTTTATCCCTTTACCGTTCATTTAAATAATAAAGCAAAATGCCAAATATTTCATACGTTACACACGTAACGATTTTACAGTTTATTTTATTGGTCGAGGAAACAACGAGAATATTAAATACAATTAAAAAACACTTTTTTTAGTCCTTGAAATTGCCCATATCAGTTTTAAAAAAGGTAATGTCTTCAAATGTTTTGTTTTCATCCATCGGGTACAAACACACTGCCTGAGGAAGGCTATGTGTATTTTTTTTTGTCATTAACCTTTTCGGACCTTATTTATTTATTTTGGTGACGATCCGACTCCATGCTGCTACTCTGGTTCAAACTGCATCACCCAAACAATATGATTTTATTCGACCTCCTCAAAATAACGAAAATCTGCACGGTGTGAGATGTATTTTTAGCTGTTTCTGTAGTCATTTCCCTGCGAACTTCTTCATAAAGTCAGTCAAAAATGAATGAATGAATGAAGGGCGTTTCTTTGAGCTATGTATAGGCAAATATGGCGTTACGTGAAAGCCGCAAAAGCGCACCGCATTTCGAGTTCGGTTGTGATTTAATAAAAGGGAACCGGCGTAGGAAGGTGCCGTACGCACTTTCCTCGCCGGTACGCAATGTTTTGGTGAATCAGAAAGTGGCCTATTTTTCGGATTCTCCTACTACGTAAGCAACCTTTGCCCGTCAATCCTACGCACGCGTTATACATGAGGCACCAGAGCTGGAGCTTCTGATGGCCAGAACACTGACGGTTTTATGTTGGAGCTTCGGCCGGAGAATTCGCAAGACATGTCATGGGCAGAGATTGATAGAGATGGCAGAATCCAATTCTGAAGAAACTCTTCTGTAGTTTGAGGTTTTAAAGTCCTTAAATCTTACATTAAAAACTGTTTTTGGCAGTTGATTTCTGGGGGGGTGTATGCACACAGATAACTCAATGTATGTTCTTTATTTCATACTGAATAATATGTAAAAAAAGGAAAACTATTAGGTCGCAATAAAAAAAACTTGCTTCTGGAAGCAGGCCGCATTTCGTGACGTCACGTGTGGTTTCCGCGGCTGGGCGCTGTCTGGATCCCTGCTGGCGTCGGAATCGACAGCATGCGCGCGCAGCGAGCGTTCACCAACGAAAAAATGGCGTCAAATATTGTTGATGTTTACGCATCAGAAAAAGCTAATAGCGCGGGTATTTGGCCCAAATTTGACAGAACATTATTTGGTGTGGCCGATGATAAACACTGAATACACAAAGTTGACGATGCGGGCTATACAGCAATGCTCGCACTGTGTGATGCTGGGAACGGGCTGCACTCACCAAGGATTCAGCGGAACCACACGTGACGTCGCGCACAGCACCAAAGGCAGCGGCAAGTTTGAATCAGCTTTTCTGGATACTCTGAATTTGACCTTTTTCCGGGGCGATATTAAGACAAGTGATTTACAGCAAATAGGAAAACATAATTCGATCTATATCACGTGTTTACTGGAATAAGACCGCAACAAAGTTAATGCATTTTGAAACAGTCTATGATCTTTCAGCTACAGTGAATTACGCAAAGATAAGCGCACTTTTAAGTAGTTCGGCAGTGTAATAATCAAGCATTCTTTATCAAGCGAGACAAAATATGGACCTAAATCTAACTAGAGCGGTCGTCTAAGAAAATAATGTGGCGCCGGGAAAACCGCTCGTCCCAGAAAAAGAAGGGCATCTNAATATTTCAGCTTAACTTATTTTACATCTTATTTTCAATATGTTTTAAATTGTTAAGTAGGCTCACTGTCACTTAAAGTGGACCTATCATGCTATATTTGAAACATATATTGTAGGGCCATACCTATATAAAAGGTGTCTGTGAAGTTTTTTTTTCAAAATACCAAACAGATCATGCATTTTAGCCATACCTCTTTTCGCTCTATTTGCTCTTTTTTAGCCCTGTTTTTGCAAGGGCTGATTCTGAGAAGTCTTCTTCGCTGCTTTTGTGGCAGACTACAGCGCCACCTACAGGCCTGGCATATGTACTACAGCGTCTCCAGCGCTTTCGAATGGCAATGGCCGTGGCTGTCTCCTCCTGATAGGTGGAGAGTGGCCCATAAAGGCGGAGCTCCTCGTTCCTGAGGTCAGAGAATTTTCAAATCTGTATCAGATCCGTTGCAGCCCCGTTTTTAGAGATTTGGGTATGGAGGAAAAGAGAGGGGGTTGTGTTTTCTGACACTTGGTGAGTTCCCTGACACACCGGGGACACATATTCATGTATAAAA